GACCTCATGATCTGCCCGCCTCGGCCTCCCAAAGTGCTGGGATTACAGGTGTGAGCCACCATGCCCGGCCTGTAGTTTCTACATCTGTGAAAATGGGATGGCAGTAATAACAGGATCCTGTTCACAGGGATGTGGTCATGACTCAATGAGTTTGTACATGTAAAGTACTTGGGACAGAGGCCAGTACACAGTTAAGCGGCCTCTAAGAGTTTGCTATTACAGTTGTTATTCCTGGTCCTAATTAGAACAGGCAGAAAAATGATCCATTGGTGACAATCTGTTCTCAAGTGTCACTTAGCACAGGCCACTCTGTGGGCTCTGCCTGTACTGCCCCTCTGTCTGACCTGGCTGGCTGTGGAGAGCCAACAATTTCCCAGCAGCTGACAGGTGCTAAGGAAAAGTGGAAGACATTGCCATTTCTCAATACTGGCTTCAGTCCAGGCTCCTCCTCATCCTGGGTTCCTGGGCTCAGAGCTTGGCTGTAGCTGGGCGCAGGGAGGGGTGTTACTGCTCAAGTCAGGATTATGTGCCTTGTGCCTGCAGGTGGCTGCAACCTATGCCCTTGCAGGAGCTGGTCCACCTTGACGAGGCAGCTGATGGCTGCAGCCCATTCCTGGTCAATGTGTGTGGTACCCAGGAAGCTGGCAGTGTAGCTCTCAGACCTTCACTGGCCAGACCTGTCATTATCTAACAAGGGAGTGAGGCCGGAGCAGATGTTTCAAGGAGGGGGCCAACCAGAAGCTTCCCCCTGGGGTTCTCAGCCCAAGAACACGAAGCCAGTGTAGGGGCACACAAAGCCTATGGAAACAATCCTGGCTAGGATTCTCAGAGGTCAGACAGCTGGGAGAGACCCTTGGGATTGACATAAGGCAGACATGAGTTCAAATCCTGGTTCTGACAAGTGTCTATCGGGGGATCTCTGGGCCTCAATGTCTTTGTCTGCAAAATGGGGATAAGTGTGTATATCCTGAAGGGTAGGGTGCTAGTAGCAGTAGTAGGAGGAAAGAGGGGCATAGCAGTGATTTAAAAGCATCACCCTGGTAGCCAA